GCTTTAGGTGCCCAATTCTCCCACAAGAGTAGCAGAATATGGGGAGTTTCTCGTATTTGACCAGGTATTCCAGTAACTTCCCTTCAATGTTCATCTTGATCTTTTTCTTAAGAGGGTTGTTGATAGATATACGTACCCTCAGCTTTATATATGTGTCCCACATTGTTCCTGGATTGTCATCAAACCAAACCAGTGAACCAAAACGATTTGCAATTATCCCTGCCATCTTTTGTATTCTCAATTCCGCTAGGAATTCCCTTATCCGAATCCATATATCAATCATATTCAGAGCTTCAGGGGCTGGTTTCTTAATCAACAAGCTTCGCATGAAAACCATAGTGTTTTTTCATAGTGTCAGGGGCCTCTATAACTTACTTTTTTCTGTCATTCCTGTCAATAAACTAAAAGACAAAGAGCATAACACCCAGATCTGTGATTTGAAATCCCTTTTCAGGTTCCACGCCTTTGTTAGAGCTATTTTCATGGGTTTCACATTGGGTTGTTTATCTGCTAGCAGGCTACCAATCAACCCTAGCTGGTGAACCGCTTCCATTCATACAACGTCCACATCACTATCATCAACTTCCAGGGGAGTATCATCCTCATCCCCCAGGGTTATGTGATCCAGTTGTACATCCAAACTTTCAATCGTGTTAATGAGTTCTAAGGGTTCCTCCTCCGCCACCACTTTCATTGTTTTATTTTTTGTGTTTGCCATCGTTTTTTGAATCAGTTGCACTCTTTCTTGCACTCCAAACTTTGCCAAAGAAAACTTAGGGTTTCCAAGGCTCTCTATCTACTATTTGTGACTTCACCGCAACCAACGTTAAATGATTAAATAGGAATTGATTACGACTCTGTAACCTACTTGAAGAAGGAATCGTAATCCCACCTCACCACTAAATCTTTGTTAAAGCCCTTTGGTCACCAACTTATCTACGGAAAACCTAGGGTTTCCATCGCCTCTAAACCCTCGATAAACGTGAGAACAATTTTCACAATTTTGTCTGCAAATAAGACATGGCTTTTTCGGATAATTACTTTGTTAGTCTATACTATTAGTGAAATTCATCCAACTAAGGCGGACCCAAATCTAATTATCATTACTGAATTGAAACCGAAACCAAAATCTATTCAGACCTCTTGCCTCACAACCGGCCATGGGGCCGGGCTGCAAGATAATTCCTATACCTTAATAAAGTGCATCTATCGCAAGTCCCATCCTTTCAGCCAATCGATAAAAGAAAATCCTTTAAAATATATAGAGCAACGGTTACACAATATAAATATATAACAAAATACATAGAGTTCCAACTTTATTCCAACTCTTAAGCATTTTCTTTTCTCCCAAGGTTTGTGATAGAAACTTGCTAGAGAATCCTCCCTTGCCTTCAAAATCGACCAACTATATATACAGAACAGAGGCCATCCTAGTTCATGGTCGTGAACTCAAAGACGAGCCTGCAAACTCAAATACCCATACACCATCGTTCTGCCTTTAATGTCATGGAAATCACAACATCATGTTGATGCTCGCGATCCTTATCTAGCGGTCTCCTTTGTGGCCAGTGAGTCAGGCTACAACCCTCTGCTTCTTTTGTTTTTATCGTTTCTAGGGGTCATGGCATGATCTGAAAGGAACATGGTCATCAACTACTTAAGTCACCTGTGAACTTAGAGCATGGTCATTGAATCTCGGCCGTGTTCTTCGAGCTGAGACAATGAACAATCCATTTCAGATTCTTAGAGCATGCTATGCAAATCTAAAACCTGCTGATATAAAAATACGAAAGAACCGTAGACCAAAATGCAACGATTTAGGGTTGAGTTAATGCTAAAAAGAATGTGAAACCATTAATAAATGAAGGGTCAATAACACCATGTTTAGGTGTTATGAATAACTATATATCGCAAATATGAAATTTTGTGATGAACTATTTTGGACGACATTTTATTATCATCGACAATATTCAGTATCACGAGTGGACATGTCATGAATATAAATATTTGTAACAAAGTATTAGTGATGGTGATATGATATGGTCACGAAAACACCAAGGGGTCGTTTGAATGAGGTATTCAAACGAGTTATTCCGGCCGAAATAACTCGTTTGGGTGGGAAATAATGGGATGCGTTATTTGATCATGAGTTATTTATAATTAACTCATAAATGCAGTATTTAGAATACCACATGGGGAGGAGTTATTCATAAATAATGCGTTTTGAGGGCTTTTTATTCCAGTTCTGTCCCTGCTTATTCTTGGAAACCCCACTTTGTTCTTGCTTGCATCATTTCGAGACAGACTCCCCTTTGGCATCTTCTTTCTTCTCATTCTGCTTCCTCCCGTCACTCTCTCCAGGCGAACCGCTCACGAGTGAACAGAGCAATCACTGTCGTAATCGACCTGCTATTAGCACAAGGAAGTTGTCAGAGTTAGCAGATCGTTTGCTAGGGTCGGTGAGTGAATCTTCTTCTCTATTTCTCGTATCGTGTTCCTCCCCCTGTCTTGCCATGTTCCACAAAAGTATTTTCCGATTTAGGGTTAGAAAAGGGTTTTAAATACAAGTATTCATCAGATATCCTATATCTATGGAGCTTGCGTACATTCAATATGAAACTAGGGGTTTGTTCTCCTGATTATTCTGTTTGGTTCATTTTTATGTGTTGTGATGCGCTCTCCTTCTCGGCTTTGGCCGAGGGTTTTTCTTGGCAACTCGCTTGGTCTGCTGTTATGGAACCATTTGTCATGTCGATTTATTGGTCTGTTGTTGTTTCTTGGGGCATTTATATTTATTGGTATGTTATGGAACCACTTACTGTTGTTATGGAACCATCTGCTTCCCTTTCAATTTGGTTTTGGGTGCTTTTCTGCAATGTTCATGAAATGGCTCGGTCTTCTCAAATTGGCTTTTGGGAACACTAGATATTGTTTAATGCAAACCATTGGGAAGCTTAGTAAGACGTTCCATAAAATTTATGGATTTCATGTAAATGACTAATTCAAAATTTCCTGTCTTGTAAGGGATGTTGCGTTTGTCCGCATTGAATCCGACGCGTAGGCAACAAGTGGTTGCTGCAATTAGCGCTTTCATGAATCTGATTGTGATATATGTGAGTCTAGGTATGGAATTGGCTAAAATTTTAGAGAAACGACACTCTAGACCTCGACTTGCTAGGCAACCATTGGATAGCTACTTGGTTAGGCACTATGATAGGCAAAGGCACCTTAGAAACACAACCAGACTAAGTGACACCTATACCTTTGACCAAGTCAGGATGAATCATACATTATTTAGAAGGTTTTGTGAGGTTCTTATTGTAGAAGGAGAGTTGAAGAAAACTAGGAACGTAAACATTGATGAGATGGTTTATACCTTTCTCCGTACCATTTCACATAACGAAAAGAATAGGACTTTGCAATTGAATTTGCGACGATCTGGTGAGACTATATCTCGATCAATTCATCGTGTGCTGAAGGCTGTTATTAGATTGAACAATCTGCTGATGAAGAAGTCGGTTCCTATTCCTAACAACTGTACCAGTAGTAGGTGGAAGCATTTTAAGGTCAAATTTTATGTTTTTTCAATCTTTTTATTCAACTTTGCTATGTTTAACAACACTATATTTTAACACCTATTTGTTTCTATTAATAGAAGTGCCAAGGAGCCCTAGATGGAATCCATATTCATGTTCGTCCGTTGACTGAGGACAAACCTAGATACCGAGATAGGAAGGGTGAAATCTCTATGAACGTCCTAGGTGTTTGCACTCCCAACTTGGAATTCATATACTGTCTTGCTGGTTGGGAGGGTAGTGCTCATGACAGTAGGGTGCTTCGGGATGCTCTCACTAGACCAAATGGCGTTGTTGTGCCTGAAGGTACAACATTTTGAATATAGTTCAATGGAACTTATGTCTGATATTGTTCAATGAATAGCATAACTGAATCTATATATACTTTTGAATGAAGGAAATTACTATTTGTGTGATGTCGGGTATGCCAACAGTCCTGGATTTTTTACCCCATATAGGGGTCAAAGATACCATCTCAAAGATTGGGGCAACATGCAACCTGAAACTGCTGAGGAGTATTACAACATGAAACATTCATCTGCTAGGAATGTAGTAGAGCGCATTTTCGGAGTTCTAAAGATGAGATTTGCCATTTTGAGAAATGCAACATGGTTCACTCCAGAGCAAGTGTCCCGAATAGTTATAGCTTGCTGTATAATACATAATTTTATCAAGAAGGAATATGGGGTTGATGAGATTGAAATAAATTACCAGGACGAAGAGCCCGAAAAGATTCCTTCAATTGATGTGGAGACCATTGATGGTAGTACTACTATGTGGGCACAATGGAACCAGTTTCGCAATGAAAAGGTCACTACTATGTGGGAAAATAGATAGACAAGTTTGATTTGTTTTGGTACCTTTTGTAATTTTCCATGTTTTGGCAGAGCAATAGGGTGTTGAACTTTATGGTTTGTTTGGTAGATCTGGTAGAAGAAACATTGAATGCTACCAAGTTGTCCCTTTTGTCAGTTTATTAATATGTAATGTAGGACATATGTCTCTAAAACATGGTTTGTAATGTTGTTTAAATTGCCAAACTGTTTATCTTATGATATGTTTATCTCACTTTTGCGTGCTATTACTAGTGGAAATGAGTTACATGTTTATATTCTGCCATTAAGAAATGCCATGTCATGTCTGAATGTTTTCAGGTATGGGGAGAAGAAAGAAAGTTGTTGGGGAGACGGGAGATGACTCCAAAGCATAATACAATTCTGGGATACAGCCCATGATGGTCCCTTCCTGGAATGTTTGCTGGAGCTGACAGAGAGAGGATTCATCACCAATCGAACTTGCAAGAACGGTGTGTTTAAGCAGATACAAAAGATGATGGAGAAGAAAGTGCCCGGATGTGGTCTAAAAGCAAAGCCTACGATTTAGAATAGGTTCAAGAAGCTGAAACACTGGTTTCATTCGACCGTCATGATGCGTGGGCTAAGCGGATTTGGTTGGGATCCGGTGCAAGAATGTAGTAATGCAGACAAGGCAGTTTGGGACGTATTCATTGCGGTATGTCCTGTCATTTATGTTTTGATTTTAATGACAAAAATTTGATGTTTGGTTGGTAGGTTTACTTGTATTTATTGCTGACTTCTTTTTATACTTTGAAGCAAAACCCAACCTGTAAAAGCTATAAGGGACTTACATTCCCACAATTCGATGACCTTGCACCGGTGTTCGCCAATGGACGTGCCACCGGAAGTGGAGGAATCTTAGGTCCAGAATTGTCATTTGGAATTAATATGGTTGTTTCTTATTTATGTTTATTGTTGTGTTCATACTAACGTAGTTAACCATACAGGAAATGATCCGGATATTAATGTTGATGCCTCTGATAGTGGCTCGGAGGATGATGAAGACCATCCGCTCTTTATGGATGGTATGGTCCCTCCTGCAACGGATGAAGACATGTTTAATATCATAAATGAGGGTGTGGCAGAGAAGAATCAGAACCAAAAGAAGAGATCAGCCAAGACTACCCATGGTGGATCATCAAAGAAGACGAAAGGTCCAGCAGCACCATCTAATGATAATGGCCCTGAAATGTCTAATGAAATGGCACTAATGAGGCCGCTGATCAAGGAGTCATTTGACACAATTGCTAGAGCTCTAGGAGAGAGTGAGGAGCATGATAAAATGCGAAAGGAGTTGATGACAAATTTGGACAAGCTTGAGGGCCTCACCCAACTACAGAAGGTGCAGGGATTTAGGAGACTCAATGCCACACCTTCAGATTTGAAGAGTTTCTATGAACTGGACAAAGGAAACAGGCTGACCATTGTTCTTGATCTGCTGTCAAATTGAAGAAAGTTAGGATATGTAGTTGTATAAGTTTATAACAGGTCATGTGTTGTCTATTTTGCAAAGAGACCCATGGTTTTTGTCTATCTTTCATTCAGGCGCACTCTTGATGACAGTCTTTGCAAATGGAAGACAACTTTTGTAGAGTACTTTGGTGAAGTGATCTGTGCATATTAGGAACTTTTGTATAACACTACTGGTTAGGAGCTCTAGCATATTAGGAACTTTTGTACAGCACTACTGGTTAGGAGCTCTAGCATATTAGGAACTTTTGTACAACACTACTGGTCTTGTCTAGTATATTAGGAATTATTGTAAATCACTGATGGTTGTTTGCAACATTTGGCAGCATCTATGGAGCTGGTATTTATGGGTTTTCAACAGATCTGTTGTTCCTATTGTTCTGCACAATTTGGCAGCAAGTATACTGCTGGTTGTTCTTAAACATTCAACAACATTTGACAACAACATTTGACATAGCTCATCAGCTCAGTTAACACAACAAAGTTCACTAACAATAGAACACTAGTATTACACAAAAGTTACATAATAAGCTTACAAACATACATCAATCTCAATGTTCTTAACAAGCATGATTACATATAAAAAAAAACTTCCAACTACACTAATACCACACACAATCATCACTAGTTAATGGTTAATCGACTCATCAATTTAGTTGTTGATGTCGATTTTATTTTAATCACTTCAACCTCCATGACAAGGTTGCATTCCCCACTAGTACAATCGGACTCGTGTCTCGACTCATAAGAACACTGTTGTTTAAGCAGCCTAGTGTTCTCCTCCTTCAATTCATCTAGTTAAAGCTCTAACTCGGCTATCCTTTTCAAGTGCATCTGCTCTATATCTCTCATGGTGCGAAGATCGCACCAATCAAAAAAGTCACAGTAGCGACCAACCTGAAAACCAAACAGCAAAAAATTCCTTTCCATGAGCTTGAACTTACATCGAAAAGCACTTGCAACCTCCATGTTACCATAATCAAATATCTATTGATGAAGAGCCATTAAATCCATCCGTTAAACTTTGGGCTTTATATATACATACAATAAATAAAAAACATACCTTCGATTTATAAGTCGGGCATGACCAAAATTGACGATTTGGATTTCGTGGAGTACTGGAAGTTCGCATTATGGCTTCACTTCCACATTTGCACAAAACAGCTCCATTCACGAGGCCAGATTGAGAAGCTTGCATTGTTTCTATATCCTGGCAATGGAGCAGCAATGGAGGAGGGAGAAGATGGTCGGAGCTAGGCACAGAATGCGCCGCCAGGTAAGAATCGCCAATGAGAATCACTGGGAGGGAGAGGACTCGACAGCAAAGGGCTCCTCACCTGCTGTTAGTGAGCATATAGAGTTGGTGGGGGATTGGGTATCTATTAAATATATGAGGGTATTGTAGTATTTTTGTAATTTGTGTTCACAACTACCACAGAAAAAATAACCCATTATTTGGATCATCCAAACAACACAATTTAACTTTCAGTTTCCCCAAATAACACACAAATATCACATTCATGATTTGTGAGTTATTTCACTTTATAAATACCACACAAAAATTAACCCATCCAAACGACCTCAACATTTGTTAGCACATTTTATTGTCGTCGATATTGGTGAGCACTACTAACAAGCGAAGTACGTACAATAATCCTCACCTATGCGAATTTTCTTCCTCCCAAACGGGGTTACTACTGTCACTGAAGGTAATTCTTATGATTAATGACCAGATGTCTAGTTTGTCACTATTTATGTTATTGTAATTTTCTCACAAAATTGTTATAATACATTATTTCTTCTTCCGAAGAGAATCCTATTTCATAGTTAAAGTCCAACACATAATTTAATAAACTGCATCTAAAATATATAGAGTAACGGTTTCACAATAAATATATATATAAATACAAATAGATCGCTTTATTCCATTCCAACTCGTAAGTATTTTCTCTGATGAAGTAAACCGATGATTTTTCTTGTTATATTATAATAATTTATAAAAGAGGATCTATTCTAGTCTACTAACAAGAAAAGTGAGTGAAGCCTAAAACAAAAACAAAGAGTGATGATGATCGATCAGGCATCGAAAGGACCCGATGGCACCAGCTGCTTGCAAAGCGCCAAATAGGTCAAGTACAAGACCCGGTCCTTGGCCCCGGTCCGATGGTTGCTGGTGTGCTTGCAGAAGTACTTCAAATCCCAGAGCTTGCAGCAGCCGATGAGCTGGCCGAGCAAGAGGAAGAGCCAGTTGATGTCCCGCTTCTTGGCCATGACGGGCTTGGCGCAGTCGGTTCCCCCGCAGGCCCTGCAGTCGGGCAGGGTCGGGTCGCTCCAGACGGCGGGCGCCCGGTCGTGCATCGTGTACTTGTTCTCGCTTATGAACGCCGCCACTTCCTCGAACTTGGACACCAGGTCGTACGACATCTCGTACCGCTCCTCGCACTTCTTGCACTGCACCTGCCCCGTTATGGACGTGATCCCTTGGCTCATGAGGTGGCTCATCGTGTGGATCCGGGCCCGCTGGTTCGTGGCCCACGGGTACGGAGCCGGAATGGTTTCCGATTTGCCCTCGGGGACCGGGTTCGACCGGGGACGCCGACCGCCCGGCCTGTTTTTGCTGATGCCTCTACGCCTTGCCTGCACCCGGGCGTCGCGCCGCCGGGGGGTTGTTGACAGTGTGAGTGACAGCTGAAGGAGTTGGTCGCCGGCCGAAGTATGATCGGTCATTGGGAGAAATTAGAACCAAGAGACGTAGAATCAGAATGGATGGATTCGTGAGTTAGAGAAACAAATGGGACGGGGGCAGTTTAAATATTGGAACAAGAGTGTAAGGATGGAGAGGTTTATTGGAACTCAACTTCCTCCTCTGCTAATTTCCGAGATTAACTTAATTATCACTTTCTAAACTTGTCTTTCTTTTAGGGGGGATTAACTTTAACAAATCGGTTAATGTAATCTTAATCTGAAATAAAATCACGATTATGTGAATCTTCTTGAGATCTTAATCGGTTTTACAGAAATTTTCGACTGCTAACAGAGTTTTTTTATTTATTATATTCTGGTAATAATAACTTACAATGAATTATTAGTTGAGGGAAGGGGATGCTATTCTTTCTAACATATTTCTATTAGCAATGTCAACAACCAAAAAATTATTCCTTGTAATATTACTTCAAGTTATAACTAATAATACTTTTTTACAGAGTAGTAGAAAGTTCAGATTTTCTGTAAAAACAAAGTGTAATAGAAAAGTACTCATTTTACAATATCTTCATTTATGAATTAGATGAAAATGAAGAATCATTTTCAATTGAGAGATTGAAAAATATAGGAATCATACATGTTGCACCTTTCAATTTGCCATCTAGGGATGGCAATGAAACTCGGACCCGTGGGTACCCAACATGACCTATTCCGATCAAAACGGGTAAAACTCATGTTGATCGAGTTCAGGATTAAACCTGGTGTCTTGTTAAGCGGGTTGGGGCTGGTTCGGGTTTGGGGGTACCCGCCCCGTGTATACCCGGCCACACTTAGTAACCCTAAATCCCTAAAAGCTAAGACCCTAACATTTTCCAAATTACCCCCATCTCCTAGAAACATAAACCCCGTCGCCCCTCCAATTCCATCCCTCTCCCTTCCTGAATCGCGAGACTCCACTGCGCCTCCATCCTCCCGTCCCCACGGCCGCCGACTCCCAAACTCGATTCCCGTCTCGCTCCTCTCCACCGCCATTCCCGACGACTCTCGTAGTCTCGGTGACTCCTTCGTCGACCCGCTGCCCTCCCAGTCCCAGACCCAGACCTACTCTTTGCTCAGCCTGCACCTCCGGCCTCCACCTCCCGTCGACTCTCGCTTGCCTCCGCCTCTCGTTGACTCCCGCCATTCCCGAATTCCCCTGCTCCTCTACTCGGCCGGCAAGGGAAAAAACTCTCGGCATTCCCGGATTCCCTTGCTTATCCTTTTTTCCGTTACCGCTCCTCCTCTACTTCAAGCTTTGGCTGCGGTAGCCACTGCCGAGAAGCCTTCCAAGATCCGGAGAACGTGTTGTAGCCCATCAAGGACATCTCTGGCTCGCTGCGCTCTCCGAGGTATGGAGGATTCTTCTAGGCTTTGTTAAGTTTTGATTTGTTGAGGTTTCTCTGTTTGACTGCTTGGGGAGAATAATTATGTTTAACCATCATTTTCATCAACAGATTAGAGGTTTTTGTGCTTGTGGTCTTTTAATTAACAAGATTGATTTGTTCTAGATTGGTGTTGAACAATTTGTATGTATAGTGTGTGATTTGCTTGAATTTTCTAGAATGGTGTATATATGTGCGGATACTTTGTGTGGCGAGATTGATGCTTGATTTTTATTTTGATAGTTTCTTGCTAATTGTTATTGTAAATTTTTTTATCACAAATACACACGGGTACCCATGAACCCGTGGATACCCAGCGGGTTGGGTTGGGTTTGAGGTTTTCAAATCCAGCGTGCTTTATGGGTTTTTTTGGCGTATAATCCCATGGGTTTGGTTTTGGGTTTGGCAAAACCCGCCACAACCCGACTCATTGTCATCCCTAGTGCAATCTCAAGTGTAGCATTCCGGTCATGAGCCAAGCCGAAAGCCTCATCTCTAGTTTCTCCACATAGATCCCCAAAATACTACTAATACTTGACTTCATGTTCATTATTGAAACGTATAGCGTAATTCTCGTAGGGAACCCTAAGCGATTCCTTCTCGTTTCCCATCTTTGGCATCTCCGCTATGGAAGTCGTTGAGGACCTTGCTATGCCGCAATCACAGCCAGCCTAAAAAAAACATCACAAGGGCTAGAATACCCTCTCCAGCACCTTCCTCTCCCAATGATAAAGTTATAATGGAGAAACAACACACAGAAAAGAGAGCCAAGGTACCCCCTCTTCGGCGTTTAATGCGACATAGAACCAGAGTTCTTAGTGCAGCATTCCGTCTCTCCCACGGTTGAAAAATGTCAAAGGATGTCGTAGGTCCAACAAAAGTCTTGAAGAACTCGATACGTACGCAAAATAACTAGGAGGAAATTTGGTTCAGCGATGCTTGTCTTATTTTTTGCGATATCTCTCATTACGAGAGCTAGTGTGTTGAAGACTCTGATACGGGGGATGTTGAGGAAGCCATTTGCCAAGATAACAATCAAGACTAGATCATACATGATCCCCTCTGCTTAATCGTAGTCTTCCCTGATGGTCAAGATGTTGGGGAAGAGCTATCCGTATAGGTTCCTACATCGCTGGATAGTCTCACTATGGGCAAAACCCTTTGAGATCCAAGTCACAGATATTGTGAAAAATTACTATCTCGTGTGGTTAAACTGGAAACCGAAATTCACAGATCGTGTGGCGGGCCATGGATGGTGGGGGACCACTATCTCATGATGCATCAATGGGTAATGAATTTCAACCGATATGGAGCGCACCAATCAAAATTCCTAGTTTGGGTACACTTCCGTCTCATTCTGGTCGATCCAATAGCGGTTCATCACATCGATGGTCTCATTGGCAAACCAATACGAGTTGATGCGGAAACTGAAGCCTGAGGTCGTGGGCAGTTAACTCGTGCATCTGTGGAAGTGGACAAGTCAAAACCCCTTCTAGAAAAAGTTTGAGCTAGAAAGAATAAAATACCCTATTGAGTACGAAAGACTGCATGCAATATGCTTTGATTGTAGCCGTTAATGCCTAAAAAGTAAAAACTTTCAGTTACCCATGCAAAATGGAGAAGATGGCCCCCTAGTATTTTCACCGCCTCCTATAGCTACCTCAGCTACCCTAAATACGCTTATCCTTAACCAAAAATTCGACGAGTGGATTGAAGCTAAGAAGAAGCATATAAGAACCGAAATCGGGTCTCCAAAAGAGAACCCACAGTCGAGCGTCACCCTCGATCAAAGAAGCACTTGTTCAAGGCTCACATTTCACATTTCTTGAAGAGGAAGGAGTGGAGATGAAATCAACATCTTCGATGGATGTCGAAGAAACCATGATAAGGGTGGGAACTTAGTCTACATAGCCCATCTCGAAGAACTCCGGATAGTCGACAGCCAATCGGAGAACATCTCCGCGTAGGAACCACAACATTCCAATGAGGGAGGTTCCACAAAGATTCCCAAGGCCAAAACTACGGACAACACCTATTATAAGGGAAATCTAGTTGGAACAGGGAAACCAAGGGTCGGAGAAAACACCTAGAAACGCGTAGCCACAGCCAAACCAATACTACCATAGGGAAGGATCGCACCAACATGAACCAGATCGTGGAACCTCGGGTAGATCCAAGAACCATTAGTCATCCCATCGCCCATTTTAAAGGGGAATAAGCACCCATGGTAGGTGAAGAGTACTTGACAACAATTGTAACTACATCGATGGAGGATTCTATGCGTATGCATGGAACGATCAATCTCAGTTTGACGTAACTTCTTGCTCAGGTGAACAAGCCCTCCTTACTTTGGTATATGGGCAACATGTCCTATTAGACCTTTTTGAGTTTTGGAATTCCATCTGCTCACTATCAGCTCAAGCCTCTCGCCTGTGGAGTGACAAAGAGGGGCACATTGTTCGGCTACTCGCTACCGTGAATTCAAGCAATGTGTGGACGACTGTAGTTTGCTTGACGTTTAGTTTTTCGGTCCTGTATTCACTTGCAGTATATGTCTCCTTTGGCAATTCATGGATCGAGCCTTAGTCAATGACCTATGGCTAACGAAGTACCCAAACTCGTTAGTGTATCATCTCACACGATGATTTTTCTAATGTTATGCAGGATAGTTGGGGACACGACTAGGACCTTCTCCCAACACTCAAATGGACGGAACACAATCTGTCTAAATGAAACAGGAGCACATTTGGTAAAATCTTCCACTAAAAATGGTTGTTCTCTCACCTTTTAGAAGCTCTGGAATGTAAAGAATGAGCGATCGCTATCTGCTTGCTCCCTTACTAATGATTATGATATTCTTAGGGATTTTGATGCGATTCTCGACGTCATTTCCTGACCAGAGCAACCAAATCCCCGACCATTATCTTTGTGAGGCGATCGGGGAGTGGAGGTCGAAGAGCCCCTTGTCGGCTAGGCAATAACCCCCGATCAGGGATCTGAAGGGGCCAACTAAGGATCGATCCTTGATGAAGTTAAAATTTCATTTTTCGTGTTTGGTTTAGTTTGTTACATGGCTTATATATAGCACTTAAAACCGAGTTTCTGAGTTAATTTTTGAAGAATATTGATTTTATCTTGGTTCGTTGAGCTTTAGATGTGTGAATTTTTCTTTGTATCATTCAAGTTATCCCCTTGATTGTGTTCGAGATTCTATCCTTTATATTGTTAGAGCATTCTCCCATCTTGTGTTGAGATTGCACTTTCATTTCCATCCTATCCCAAACAAAACCCCTTAAAATCCATTTTCTTGTTCGTTTTTTAAGCTGCGTGACTTTGATAACAATGGGTGCCAGTTCCGTGCTCGTATCAAGTGGTATCAGAGCTCCGATTCAACACAGTGGCGAGAACGAAGGCTCCGGTATCAAAAGACCCCATTGCAGAACACATAGAAGAGGAAGAATCGCTCTCTAAAGAAGAAACTCTAATCGATGAACAAGCCATGGGAGAACATAGTCTTGCAATTTCTTGTCGTGCAGATGAGAGCCTTGCTTCATACTCAACAAGACACTATCAAAGGTCAGTTGGTTAAGACTTATAAGCGCCTAGATACCCCAATCACCAGGTTGGAGACGCAACCAATGGGAACCAACCAGAGAACTCAATCACTGTAGCGGCACAGACTGGAGTTGAGAACCGATAGGGTACAAGAGTAGATCGAGTTTACCTAGCTTTTCCAGAGACCCCAGATTGGCAGATGCAGAGGCATTGTACGTCAACACACGAGGCAACGTCGTCAGTAATCTCGCAGTATAGACATCCATTTAATAATTATGAAGATGATTATCATGATTATGGAGGAAGGCCACCAGAAGTAGGAGGTTATGGTGTTGATCCGATTCAAGGGATCAAGCTCTCAATCTTGTCATTTCAAGATCTAATAGTGCATTAGCTTACTTTGACTAGGAGAGGGAGATGAATTTGTTTTTAGTGCAATCCTTACCTAGAGCATCAGAAAGTTCTGGTAGCCACCTATGAGTTTATTGATTATACAGCAGCTTGGTGGGAACAGGTTTAACTTTGATGAAGAAGAAATCTGCAGCATGTTGCCTCTACTTGGGAAGAATTTAGAGGTCTTATTCATGATCGGTTCGTGCCTCCATTCTATCATAGAGACCTTCATGATTCCTTGCATGGAATTCGGCAAAGAGAATGCTCTATTGATGAGTACTTCAAAGAGGTTGAATTGTTCTTGACGAGAGCAAATGTGAGGGAGGACAAGGAAGCAACGATTGCTTGCTTCCTACATGGGCTCAACGTGGAGATCAAGCAAGTAGTCAAGCTTCGTCAGTTCGTGGAGTTGGAGGAAGTGGTGCATTTGGCTATGAAGGTGGAGAGACAGCTGAAGGTGAGCTCAAGAAGATGGTACCCACTTTCGCCTAAACATGTTGCAGAGAAGGTGACAAGCCAGCTGCTAGGAATACGACTCCAGTCATCCAAGCCAGAAATGAAGGATCAATTGGAAGCATCCAACGCTTCAAGTGCTTGGGACGTGGTCACAAGGAAAACCTGCTTTCCAGAGGGACGTGGTCACTATGAAGTGCCTCGTCGACAACTGTAGTCCCGGTGGAGAAGCCGCTTTCCAGAGGGACGTCCAGCTCATTAGCGTCGCTGTCCACCGAAACCTTCTCTACCTCATTAGATTCTTCACCATAAGGATGGAGCGGATTTTGGCCTACCCCTAGTCCCCTACATGAGGAATCTCAGCGTGGCGCACCGACTAAGGTAGCTAAAGCCAGAAGATAAGGGGCTGGACTGGGCCGCGAGGAAGAGAGTGGCTCTGGGCTCGGCCCATTGGCTATGCAATGGGCAGGTAGTATAGGTACCCATAATACCCAAATAGGTATTAACGGGTAACCCATGGGTAGGGCTGCAAAGGAGTCGAGTCGAGTTTTTGCTTAACTTGAGCTCGGCTCGATTAAAAATCATCCAGCTCAAGCTCGACTCGGTAGATCTCGACAAATGCTCATTAACAAAGCTTGTTAAGTTGAGTACAAGCTCGGCTCAAGATGAGCTCAATTTGAAATCATTCTTGCTGAAAAAATGTGGATAAAATAAGAATTTAAATGATAAAAAGAACGCTAGAAACTAAAAATAACAGCTAA